CGGTTCAGTGATGCGGATGATAAGGTACAAGTTACTTTGGTGCACAAGACAAGTTGGATCTAATTTTCTGATGTAAAATTATTTGTATGTCTTCCAATCCCAGAAGTTCTTTCCTTTGGACTGCGAAAGATTGTTATCTAGCTTACATCTTTCCTTTCTCATCCTTCAAGTCTCCTTTTTTTACTTGTCTTAAAATATCAGAGACATGAGAGTACAATTTGGAACACTGCTTGCTGACATTGGGCTCATTGATGTTCCTAAGGTGATATATTTTGTCCATCTGAAAATTTGTTATCATGAATTCATGACCCATGTGGCAGTTTAAATTTACACAAAAGGGCATCATCTGCCAAAAGTATTCATATGTTTGTTCCCTTCTTTTGGGTATGGCTCTATCACCTGCATAGTTTTCAGACAAGTTTTGGACAGAAAGAAGGCTAACATGTTTTCAAATGGCCCTGACAAGGAAATTTTCTTCTATCTATCATCAGATTCAAGGGAGAAAATCAGAGACTCTTGATTTATGGTTTTCTGATAAATCTCAGCCCTTCAATTTGTATTCACAACAGCCGGAAATTGTTAAGGTACAGTGCATTCTGGTGCCCTTCTTCTGTAACAAATTCAAGTGAGGCTTATTTTTGTTCTTTTCTTAGTGCTGCTAATGTGCATATATATATATACACATACATATGTACTTTTTTCCAGATATGAAAGAGATCCCATATCAACATCTGAAAAGTGAAACGGCCAAATAAATTAGTGATCTATGATTTATGTATGTGTTTGTGAAATAACATTGATGGCCCATTTGTAACTTTTAATGGAAAAAATGAATGTCTTTTTTTGAGCTCTCGCACCATGTTTTGTAACTTTTGTGCACTTCAGTTTTTTTTTTTCCCGTACCTGATCTGAACTGTCAATTTTGACAGGCTATATTATGCGCAGGACTATACCCTAATATTGCTGCCACTGAAAAGGGAATTACAGATGCAGCATTCAAAAGCCTTACAAAGAAAGAACAGCAGCCAAAGCCTTATGCTTTGTTTGATGGCAGAAGGGAGGTCCATATTCATCCATCCTCGATTAACAGCTCCTTAAAATCATTTCAATACCCTTTTGTCGTGTTCCTCGAGAAGGTATGTTGAGTTCTAATATATTATGAAGCATTTGGTTCTGGAACTTTAGCACTTTGATTTATTTTTTATCAGAAAGATTTTCGGTTAATAGTTCTGTCCTGAATCCTATCATAGTAATTGAGTAAAACTGGCATGAAGATGCTGAGGTCATTGAATATGTAAAAGGGTACGTCTGGTAGTTTTTTTTTACTTTGATCATTTTTTCAATATCATCACAATTTTTTTTTGTTCTTTTAGGTCGAAACGAACAAAGTATTTCTGCGGGATACCACCGTTGTTTCTCCTTTCTCCATTCTACTTTTTGGTGGTTCAATCAGCATTCACCATCAGGTATGGGACTTGAATCACCTGTATTATATTATCCCTTTTCAGTAGATTCATTTGTCCAACAATGAACTATATAGAGACCTTCTAATAAAGCACAAAGTTGTTACTTGATCTACAAATCCGATCTTGGGTCTAATGAGTTGTTGCTCTCTAGAAAGTTGGTACGGATGTAATGTTTGATCATCAAATCTTTCGAAAATGATTCTGATGCTTTATGGGCACTCAACAGTTATTAAGTATTGTCTGTTCCCTCCTCTTTTCTACATAAGATACATTACTTACCCCTGATGAAACTAGTGTGGTGCATTGGTTAAATCTTCTTCCTGGTTATATGAAAAGCCTATTTCTTCAATCATGTTTCGATATCTTTATACAGATTGGAACAGTCACCATTGATGGATGGTTGGAGCTGACAGCACCTGCCCAAACTGCAGTCTTGTTCAAAGAACTCCGAGTAACCCTTCATTCCATTCTCAAAGATCTCATACGAAAGCCCGAGGTATTTCTAACAAGATTGAACTTTGATCCTCTTTCCATTTCGTAGTAGATTTACATGACAGAGTTGTTTTGACCCTCTACTTGTTCCTTCTAATCTCTCTCTCTCTGCATCTTCAGAAATCAAGCATTGTTCATAATGAAGTGGTCAAGTCGATGGTTAATCTGCTGCTGGAAGAAGGCAAACCTAAACACAGTTAAGAGCTTAGGAACTTGGAGAAAAAACGACTGATTTCCAGCTGAAGCTCTCCATGTGATTGCCGAAATCTCCATGACTACATAAACTGCAAGAGTCTGGAGGCAAATCCCAGAGCTTGAGCCTGATTATTACAGTAACATAAAGACAATAAATACAACTAATATATATATATATCCACCTCTAGGTTGAACCATACAAAAAAGGAGATGGATTGTCTCTTACATGCTTTTGGATCATGGGTCACGGAAGATGTATTGGGTTGAAGGTTCATTGACTCTTGTCATAAAAAAAATATATATTCAAAACAAACTCTAAATTTTAGGAATTTCATATTAAACCTCAATCTTTTAGTTCGTGTCATTTTAAATCCTAATACTAAGTAATTTTGAAGAAAATAAACACTTTGAGATATATTTTGCAGTCCTTTTTATTTTGTTTCAAATCTTCTAAATTTAAGGGAGTAAATATATATATGTTAGTTTGATATAATTGATGGGTTGAAGCGTTCCAAATTCAAACAATAGAATTGAGCTTCAAAGTATAGGGTTGATTTTGACTTCAATAAAAAAAAAACTTCGAACTTAATATGAGATTTTTAAAAATTAAAGTTTGTTTTAATTCAATAAAGATAATAGGGTTAAGATGTAACTGTTTAATTTAAATTAAAAGTTGAACGTTTAATTTGGGTTTTTAAAAATTAAAAGGTAAACGTTTAACTTGGGTTTTAAAAACTTTTAAAAAGGTGTGTTTTGGTTGTTAGGTCGTTAATATTGAACTTCCAAAGGTTAGGGTTTATTTTAATTTCATTGGAAAAGGTTGGGGTATTTTATATGATATTTTTAAACTTTGGGGTTTGTTTTTCAATAAATCACTATCGAATCGTTTCACACTTTTCTTTACCGGAGCTTCACAATTTCGGCCACTGGTTTCTTTAGCCTCTAGGGCTTCATTGCCATCGGCGACCGATAATCAGGTTAAATCGAGAGGAACAATCGATTAACAAGGTAGGATCTCATCGAGCAATTGTCCAAGTTTCCATCTTGTTTTTCGTCATATCTTCGACGGCTATTTGACGTGGATAATAATCGCTCTGGGCTTCCGACCGATCCTCTTCACGCTGCTGAATCAGGTAACTTGTGAGTTTTTTTTTATTTGTATTCAGATTTAGGTTTAGTTTTCCGATTGCTGCTTCAATCTAAAAATCATTCGCTCCTTGTGGATTAGATGCCGGTAATTGTTCCGTGTTTGTTGGCTTGGGCTTTCTAGGATTACGTTATGATAGCTGCTTTATGTTTCGGTTACATGAATCAGGTGAACATGAAGCGTAAGCGTGGGCATAAAAAAGGAAACAAGTCTAAGAAGCCCAAGGTGGTCTCCAATGAAGGGAATTTAAATGGGTCAGCTGAAAATGCAGAGAGTCAAAACTCTGATAAAAGTTCTGAGGCTGCTGATGAACAAGAGTCCAGAATGGAGGTTGATGCACCTTCTTCCACTGGGAGTGACCATTCACTTAATATTAGTGCCGATCGTGATGGATCTGCTGATAACACAGCAGCCAAGTCAATTGGACGCGTTAAGGTTAAACTGAAGACCTCAAAAGCACCAGAACCTGATACTTCTTCACGTAATGATGTCGCTGAGAACGTCCCTCAGACGGGGTCAGAAAGATCAGGCATGGCTACTGAGAGGAAGGAGGACTATGTTCCTCCTTTGCCTGAAAGAAAATCATTGTTCATAGGGAATGTTTACAGGAAAACTAAAGGTATAAAGATTAAACCTTCCAAGGCAGTAGCTGGCTCTTGCTCTAGTATCGAGAATGCAAGCGATCCTCTCAAGACCAAGGAAGAAAATGTTGTTCAGAATCCTGATTTGAAAACGCTTAATGAGAATTCAGATAAGAAAACACTTAATGAGAATTCTGAAACCAAAAAGCAAGAACCAGAAAACGAGCCAATTTCTCTTCTAAAAGGGCAGAAGAAGGCTGATCAAACTTCTGGGTACAATAAACAAGAACTGGAAAGCCCGGTAGGCTTTCTGGGCAGAGAGCAGAAGAAGGCTGATTCAACTTCTCAATACAATAAGCAAGAACTGGAAAAATCCCTTACAGTATGTTCAGATTAATCTTCTTTACGTTTTTCATTTTTGATGCTTTGAGCTGTTATGTTTGATCTGCATGCCTAATGCACTTTTGTATGTACGTATCATATTTTTTAAGGTGATAAAAAAGGTTATGAAGATGGACGCGGCTGAACCCTTTAATGTTCCTGTGAACCCAGAAGCTCTTGGAATTCCGGTAAGCATGGTGGCTTGTATCTGTATCCCTTCCAAAAGTGCACAATCAGTTGGTCTCGGGGGTTTTGGTTGTAGATCACGTGTTATATCTTTGCCGTAGATAAACTTTTCACTATATTATCTTGTTGCTCCAGTTGGCCTTATTTCATTTCATGGTTATGTTGAACTTCACATATGCCATTGCCGTGTATAATTCTTCCTAGCACATGAGCAAAAGGGATGCTCCTCTAGTACAAGAACCAATCATCCAAGTTTATCTTGTTTTGCTTAATATCTGTGCTTTTATCTTTCCCTTTCCTCTATGGGCATTTTGCGTGCGAGGATACTATGGCGCACCGGTTAAGGTGTTGCCGGTGTGACCTAGAGGTCATGGGTTCGGGTCCTGGAAGCAGCCTCTTGCAGAATATTTCTGCAAGGTTAGGTTTGTCTGCAATACACCCTTGTGGTGGGACTCTTTCC